GAATGAGGTTTCTCCATGACCAGACACAGTGAGGCCAAGATTTCTCTCCCTGCACGCCGCTGTAAAACAGTAAGAAATAAGCAGGACAAGGACAGGGACAGACCTGCCGTGCACACTAAAGCCCTACCAGATGTCCGGTACAACCTCTCTCCCTCCAGAGGCTGCAGAGGCTCAGGACAAAACTCCATCCCATCTCTTACTCCTACAGCCACATACCCCCAAATCCCTTCTGCTACACTGGAAACAAAGAAGGATTTTTGCTGCTGAGGGATAAAAGCTCATAAACCCAGGGCCAGCCACCCCCAGCTCTGGCCGAGCAGCCCTGCTCCGGCTCCAGCCCTCCAGCGAGGCCGCCCCTGTCTGAATCATCCCCGACACACAGGTCAGCTCAGATGTAATTATCTTGAAATACAACGAACGCCGTAAATTAACCGGCTTTTGAGGTGCAAAGGTTGGCAAATACATGAGAAAGGTTACACAGTGCTCCTTCCACCGGCTGTGGATGCACCGGCTGGGACACGGGGCACGCCGGCGGTGGGGAGGTGCCGGGTAGGGCTGGTCGGGCGGATTTGGCAGCGCCGTGCCCCAGGGGTCCTGCCCCTCCAGCTCTGCTGCCGGTGGAGAGGATGTGGTTTATATCTGCCTGCTCAGCTCTGTGCTGGCGGGGCTGGAGCATCCTGGGGAGCGGGGAACAGGGTCGTGATGTTTGAACAGGTCACCTCCCCCTGGGCTTTGGTCCCCTAAAAACCCCCTGGGTTTTCTCTCCTTCATGCCCTGAGAGAGGAGCAGAGCGTGACAGCAGCAGAGATGTGAGGAGGAGAAGCCAGGAACCATCTCTTGAATACTAAACATGACGTGGAGCATGGGTGTCTTGCAGGCTGCAAGAGCTGGGGTCACCCACCACATCTTTCCACTCCATCCCCGAAGAGCCCCACGCTTTGCTCCTGCTAACGAGTATCTTCACCGCATGGTCCTTCTGGAAATCACACAGTCTCAGGCATGTCCCGATGGAAACAATGCGTTGCGGAGCACCCAAGTGAGACCTTACCTCCCATGTAGGCGATGGAGAAGCCCCTCTTGGCCGTGTTGCGGTCGGTGTGGAGGACCAGCAGCAGCTGGTTACTGAGGGAGGTGACGGGTGCCAGGCTCTCCCGCCCACACCACCGCCCCAGCAGGGACCCGTTCTCGGCGCCGCCATCAAAGGCGGCCAAGTGGTCGTAATCGCAGCTGCCTGTCAGGCTGCTCCGGCCCTCCAGCTCCATGTCCAAGAAGAAGATCTTGACCCGGTAGCCTGGGGGCAGCTGGATGCTCCACTGGCACTTGAGGTTGTTGGGGTAGAAGTTGGGGTACTGAGGGCTGGAGAAATTCCCTTTGATGGTGGTGAACACCTCCTGGCACTCGCCTGCTCAGGGAACAAGGGGAAAGGAAAAAACGAAAGCAAACCTGAAGTGCCTTGGGCGTGGATGAGCCGGTGGATAAGTGATCACTTGTTTTATTGCTAAAGCATGCTCTGCCCTCCACCCCACAGCTCCCCAGCCTTGCGTTTGGCTGACGGACACCCATCAGTTTTGGGGGATGGCAATGCCCAAGGTGGCCAAAGTCCTACAAGGGCAGACAGGGAAAACCTGTATCCCCAGGGAATGGCATGAGCAAGGGAGAAGGGCGGCTCTTGCTCAGGAGAAAGACAACCCAAGGCCTGGGATAGCCGCAACAATGCCTTTTGCATTGCGTGGTGGTTTACACTTCACACCATCATCTCATGAGCTCTCCCCAAAGGGCTCCCCTCCTCTATCATCTCCTCTTGCTGTCATGGGAGAGAGAACATCACCACCACCACGCCGGGGACCCATCCCCACGTCCTTCCCACTGCCCCACCGCCCCGAGACCCCCGCACCTGAGTAGAAATGGGCCTTGAAGCCCCTGCCACCGA